GCAGAAGTTGATTAAACAGCCCCTTTGTCTTTTATTAAAACCACACATTAAAAAGATCTGCAAGCCAGGTATGGTGGTCCGTGCCTGTAATCCCAGTACTTGGGAGTCTGAGGCAGGAGGATCACCATGAGGTCAAGGCCAGTCTGGGCTACATAGTTAATTCAAGGCCAGCCTAGGCTACAAAGTGACACTGAAAAAAGAGCTGGGGAGATAGCTCAGCAGCACAGTGCCTCCCTGGCAAGTGCAAGGTCCTGAGTTCGATTCCCGGTACAAAAAAAAAGCGAAAATATACAATGGTATTACTCTTCTCATCAAGTTCTTTTTTTTTTTTTTTCACCAAGTTCTTGTTCAAATTTTTGTTTTGGAAAATAGTTATTTTCATAAAAATGTGACTTAAGTAACCATTTAATGTATTGTTTTTCAGAATTACAAATAATTACTTTTGAAGTTCTTAGTTTCAATTTCTATAAATCAGTAAAACCCACATAAATCAAAGCTCTTTAGGCTCAGTAACTTTTTAAGCATATAGAGGTCCTAGGACCAAAAGGCTTTAGCACCACTGAAGGTGTAATAAGAAATAAGTGATCACACATACATACCCACACACACCCAACCTCTTCTTATCTCTGCCTTAGAAGATTACTACTGCTATTTATATCACAGAAATTTCTAACAGTTTAAACCCCCTATTGACTAGTAAAGAAAGAAGTCTGGTAGGGGTAAAATTGGACAGGAAATTAAGGGCAAAGAAATTAAATACTTCCTTTTTAGTTAGGAGGCTGCCATTCTGATTTAAAGGCAGAATTCTAGCCAATTAAATGGAAGCTGTTTCAAAATTAACCTTCACGTTTAGAATATAAGTAGTGATTTATTGCTTTCACATTCTTCCCAGTTACCTGGAAACTCAAACAAAACCCTAAACTATTCTGTACAAGAATTAGGTTTTCGACAGGCATGGTAGTTCACACTTGTAATCCCAGCACTCAGGAGGCTGAGGCAGGAGGATCGCTGAGAGTTCAAGGCCAACCTGGGCTATATAGTGAGTTTAAGACCAGCCTAAACTGCATACCAAGATCCTGAAGAAAAAAAAAAAAAAAAGAACTAGGTTCTCAGGTTAATAAGCTTATCTTCAATGAAAAATTTAAATTTCATATTACTTTCATCCTTAAACTGTTCTATCAAACTGATACCTATGCAAAAAAAACCACACTTTCATATTAAAAAGAATGCAAGGCTCACTATGGCTAAAACAAAATGTCCAAATTGTAACATTTCTCACAATTTCAGTAACATGTAATTTTAAACTCAATAATCTGAGACAGGGCTGGGGATATAGCTCAGCAGCACAGTACCTGCCTGGCAAGCGCAAGGTCCTGAGTTCTATTCCCGGTACCAAAATTAATAATAATAATAATAATAATAATCTCAGAGGACAACTTCTCAAGCACCAATCTAAAGGAAAGAAAATCCTGAAAACAGACTTAACTGTTAGTAGACATTTTACCTTCCTAGATACACACCACTCAAACTGAGAAACAACTCAGTTTAATGTGAGAGGAAAGGCTGCATAAGTTAACTTTAATTTGTTTAATATTGCAAATTCTTTCTTGTCATCAAAATATTTTTCTAACTCAGTACAGCAAACTGCAAACAGCCACTTAACTGAACTATTAAGAAGGCTCTGGGTCCTCCAACCTCTAGGTTGGCACCTATTATCCAAATGACTTCATTTTTCAGTTATGTTTAGCATTTCATCATCCTATAGTACACACTTATAAGAAAAATACCCACTGCTTCAATGCTATTTTTCCCAAGAACAATTTAATGCTCTTCTGCTTACTCCTCTGCTTACTCCTCACTACAAGCAGAAGTAGTCCAAGAGTGAGGTCATAGAAGACAGTTTCCCTAGCCTTCAGAGACTGCACCCAGGGAGAATTCTAGGAAAAGCCTCTGTTGGGAGATAAAACCCCAAATCTTCTAAGTCACATTCTAACATGAATTCACCCATTCTGTAATGTTAGTACTTTAGTTCTCCCAAGAATTAATATCACTAAATTAAATCTTTCAGAGCTCTTGCTGTTGTGATACAGATTTTCTCCCAATCACAGTCCAGAACACAGAATCATCAACTACAAGATCTTATCAAGGACAAAAGAGAATATTTCTATCTGTTCTTATTTGTTTCGATGATTCAGTGAGATAAGCTTCAAAGATCTTAAGAGAAAGCTGAGAACCTATTTTGCCTTTGGCTTCTTTAGTTAGTCCGAAGTTACAGTTTCTGGACTCGGGGGGTTGTAGCTCAGTGGTAGAGCGCCTGCCCAGCATGAGAAAGGCTCTGGGTTTGATCCACAGTACCGTGCACACTGTCAGGTTAAAATTTACAATTCCGAAACCGTCTTCCACTTTGAGAACCAGCAGCAAAGCAATATCCCCCATGGCAGAGATGACCTGTGAGAGCTTCTCCAATGATTCTTAAATGATAATAATTTCCTTTCGCTCTGCCTCTTACTGCTGCTATTCCTTGAAAATCACCCACACTCTCACCTTAAGGGTTCTCCACTTGCTGCCCCCTCTACCTGGCTCACTCTATTCATGCATCTACTGGTCCCTTTGGGGCTTTTTCTCAGTGTCAGTTCAGTCCTTCCCCAAACACCTTCTTTTAAAATTGCAAAACCCCATCTGCCCGATGGCTCGCACAATCCCAATCTTTCAACTCTGCTGCTTCTCCATAGTCTATTACAAGGCACTTATTCATTCGTTAGCTTTCTGCTGTAAACATTTTGTATTTTGTTTCACTATTGTATCCTTAGCACCTAGAACTGTGCTTGCCACAAAACAAGTGCTTAATACACACTTGTTAGACATTTCTGTATTCATATTCTGTATCCATATTCTGTAACTATTCCTGATTTAAAGAGGAGAAAAATCAAAGCTCAGAGGTTAAGCAACTTGTCCAAGGCTACAGTTATCAGGAAGATGTAGAGCTGGGGTCTGCCTGACTTCACAACCTTCCTGATTCACCATTATCTAGAAGGCCTCACCAATGACTGCCTTCCATTGCTCTTCAATTAGAAAAAAAACACAGGAGCTATAACATTCCAATTCAGAGAAAATATACGCTAACTAACTAATCCACACATCCTCCTCCAAGATCAAGATTCATTCTCCTCAAAGTTAATGTTATTCACTCTCAAAACATTTTGGGCAAGGCCAAGCTTGACAATGCGCCAGCAACATCGTTTGTTCAGAAACAGGGGAAAAATATTAAAGGCACTAAAATATCACGTTTTCTCCTTTCTTCCATCTTTCTTGACTTGTCATGGTATTTGGTGTTACTAAGAAAAACTGAGATGTTAAATAAACTATTAGTACAAATTTTACCATTCACCTCTATATTGTACAATGCCCGTTTACCTGCAAACTACTAAAACTAGCGTGGGAACCCTTCTGAAGATCCAGGAGGCCATGCCAGCCCTAGTTCCAACATTTTAGGACACAACCCAAATCAAAGCAGAGAAAAGGTCAAACCTGGAAATTTTCAATAAAGCAGTGATTTGCCAAAATTGTGTCTTCAGGACGAACAATGAATCCAAAAGCAACTACTTGAATGTAGACTCTTCCTTTTGCAATTTTCATCCCACCTGCTTTACATTATTCTGTCTTTTTGCAGAACACAAAACTATACTTTGAAAGACAACTGATACTGGACCGAATGATTATAAATCTAATAAAACATTAACTACTCAGAAAACCATGTCAGCTAAAAATAATATACACCCCTCCAAAATACTTTTCACTTTTTGTGAACCATTTTTAAGCCAACCTATACTACATTTTTGATGTGCCAAGTAAGTATAATTCTATACTGATCTATTACACATAAACATTCTGGCAAATAAATTGGAATTTCAAAACACGAATATGTACTATTCTTTTCTTTCCCCAAATTAATCACAAGTAACGAGTGCAAATTAACATCCTTTACCACTTGATAAACTGACTCAAAGCACCTACTAGGTGTTGATACTTTAAAGATAGGAATTATACAAATACCACATCAAGTGCCAAAAGTTGAAATTTTCTGTACATTTCTACATCTACTAAGAATACATAAAGAGACATAAATGCATTCATAAGCTCTTCAAAGGCAATTTTCAAATGAGTAGAGACAGGCATTCTATTCTCTACATATGAAAAACAGACATTAAAATTAGGACATATACATCTAAAAAGCATTTTCCAAATTACAATTTAGTCAGATTAACAAAGGAAGAGAAATTCGAAAAACGGAAGACTAACCAAATATAAGGTGTTAAATAAATATTCTGAGTAAGAAAAGGGGCCTAAGCGGCCTATAAAGATGAAAAGCAAAGCCCTACAGTAACATTAAATTTGAGTTAAAGAATACCGTTATTTAAATAAGCAGTTAGCATTTCGCAGGAGGAAGGCCACGCAACGTGACTATTATATATCTATGGATTCATAGCAGCGCTTTGCTATTCCACACTTATTTGCTTACACTTATAATACAGAAATAAAGGAGCAGCAACAGTTAGCCACTACAACGTTAACCACTCTGGCAAAGGTTACTTTAAAAACGGCCCTGCATTTTTACACCACTTTACAGCTATAGATTATTTTCACGTATATGACCTCATATAGTGTTCACTACCCTATGATGTAGTGCCGACTACATTTCACAGATAGGAAACCGAAGCTCGCTACGCGATTTTCTCAGTCACCCAGTCGAACCCAGACCTTCCGATTCCACGTTTTATGCCTGGCATTTGGCATAGTTCCGTTTCAGGCATACATACGATCTTTAAAGGGAAGGAACGGGTTAGGGGAAAAATAATCATGGTACCTGCAGCTGTGTGCTGCAAAAAATGGCTGAATTATGCTTCTTCCTTTTTCTCTCTCTCGCTCTCTCTGGAAAAAAAAATTGCATTTCAAACAATTTAAGTAAACTCAAAGACAAACTGGGTCCCGGCGTCTACCAAATGTTCGCCTCGGGTCGGTGCAGAGAGGGCCACGGGACCCGTGCCTCGCCGGGGGCCGCGGGCGAAGCCCGGGCTCGGCAGGGCAGGCCGGCGGCAAGGGGCGGCTACGCACCTCGGGGGTCCTGTCCAGCCTCTAGTGGACGGCAGTCTGCATCAGGAAGAAGCGGGCCGGCGGGCCGAACGGTGGGCGGGCGCGCGGGCGGGCGCCGGGACGGCACTCCGCAGGCTCCTCGCACGTCTACACGGGGCCGCTCCCGGGCCGGGCCGCTCCGGTGGCGGCCGAGGGTGCGCGCCCGCGACCCCCTCGGAACCAGTCCTGAGAAGGAGACAGTGCAGCGCGGCCCCGGAGTCCAGACAGCGCGGCGAGGCGCGGGGCGGCACGGCGTCGGGGCCGGCTTTGCAACGCCAGGGCCTCCCGGCGCCCGGCGGGGCTCGGCTGGAGGGCCGATCTGGGGCCACGGGCGGGGGAAGAGGCCAAGGGGCCGCGAGCAGCGGCTGAAGCCCCGGCGGTGGCGACGTCGACGACGGCGTCTCCGGGCTTCTGCCCCGAAGCGCGCCGAGCCTCAGGATCACCCACGCCGGGGGTGGAGGAAGGCGGGAAAGGGGCGGGCAAGGGGCGGGGCGTGCAGGGCCAAGAGCCAGGGGCCGCTCCGGGCCTCGCGCCCCCTGCGGGCCGCGGGAGCCGCCCGGGGCCCGCCCAGGGAGGCGGGGCCGGCCGGTAGGGGGCTCCGTGCGCTGCGGTTCGGAGAAGGAAGCCCGCCACGCCAGGAGGGGGCGGAGGGTGCGCAGCCGCGGGGCGGAGACCAGGCCCGGAGCGGGGGAGGGCCCTCGGCCCCTACCGGCGCCCCGAGGGGGCCAGCGCGGGGCCTGGCGGGTGTTTACCTTCCCCCTGGTCGAGCGCCAATGCCGCCATCTTTCAGCCCGGCGCGCGTCACTTCCGGCGCCACGGGAGCGGGACCGAGTGTGGGAACCGGGTGGGGGAGGGCCGTCCCAAGCCCGCGGCGCCTGGCGTCCCCACCGCCGGCCCGCCCCAGCAGCGCGGCCAGGCGAAGGAAAGGAGGCAGCTCAGCCCTGCGGCCCCGGCCCGCCGCGGCTTCTCCCGCAGCGCTGCCGTCGGGGCTGGGGACGCTCAGCGGAGCACGTCCGCTTTCGGCAGCCCCTGTCCGCCTGCACGAGCGATGGGCCCCGAGCCACTTCGGTGCGCCCACCGCGGACAGGTAGAGGGATAGGAGCCCCGGGAAATGTTTTGCATCTTGCATACGATGCGGTGGGGAACCGGGGACAAGGAAAGAGCTTTGCCGTAGCTCCCTCTGATAAAAGTGATTAGATCTGCGCCAAATGACATCATTTTTTGTAAGGCAATTTGCAGTACGGTATTGCGTCACAGTTCCACTTGGCTTATTGCACAGCGATCACACGTTTCAGAAATAAATTTCCCAGAGGTGGGAAAAAAAAATCATTAAAAATGGCAGGGCTTTACCTCACGAATAAATGCCGATCTAAAAACGCTGCTCTGTTTCTGACTGCGTCAAACTAAGCAAGAAAGAACATTCAGGGGGCAGGGATTTTTACTGTTCGTTTTTAAACAAATCAGCTATAGAATTTTAGCTAATGGTTTTTATATTTTTTAACTTAATAAAAATACAATAGGACTTTTGTAAAATTATGAAATCTCTTTTGGGAAAAGGGTAGGTGTCAGAAATACACAGTTGGAAGACAGCGCTTCTACAAAACTAACCCTGAATTAGGTCACGCGCTGCCCATTTCTGATCTTAGCAACTGAGATATTTCTGTGTCCCCCCTGCTGCCACCCCTCGCCGCCATTTTCTCTCTAGACCTATATCCTGATGAACTCTCCGGGAGATGTGTGGCTAACAGCGATCATTATCTCTCTAGCAAACTTGAACATGCCATGCTTCCCAAGAGGCCAAAAGAGCACACGGTGTACTGTTTTGCTGAAGTAGACTACAGCGTGGGAAAAAAAACACAGAATCGCCCTAATCTTAAGGAAATAGGAAAATAAACTCCCCTTTTCTCACTGAGACTGTAAAATAAGATTTTAAAAAATCTATAAACTGAAATTCTCAACTTGTTCACATTCTCTCCATCTTTTCCAATAGTCCTTTTAACATCCTTATGTTCACTATTGTAAAATCCTCGCTTGCTGTGTTTGTATCTATTATCACATGTCAAATTCCCTCAGAATTGATCACCTTGAAACTTAAACCGTAAGAGCCGGGATTGTAGCTCAGTGTTAAGGCACTTTGCCTAGCATATACAAAGCCTGGGGTCCAGCCCCCAGCACCATGAAAAAAAAAATCAAACAATAAAATAAACTTCGGTTCCCGGTACCGGAGAAAAACCAAAAAAAAATAAAATAAAATAAAATAAAATAAACTTAAAAATCGCACAGTTCAACTTTTGAACAATTCTTTTTGTACATTTAAAAGCACTGAATTTTTATTTTTGTACATTAGCATACATTTTGAGTTATACATTGCTCTGTGTGTGTGTGTGTGTGTGTGTGTGTGTGTGTGTTACTGAGGATTGAACCCAGGGCCTTTGCACTAAGCTAGGTCCCTTGCCCTTTTCTATACAGGGTCACAGTAAATTGCTCAAACTGGCCTTGAACTTTCCATCCTCCCGCCTCAGCCTCCCAGAGTGCTGGGATTATAGGTGCCACCACATCTGGCCGAGCTACACATTACTATGGTATGCTGCCCTGACCTGTGTAAGAGACTTCCTTCTTCAGGTGGGAACTGAAATGCTTCTGTGAGTTGTGTGGCAAGGGGACAAACCATGAGTCATGTCATAAGGCACTGCGACTCATGAGACTTCCTAGTATGACATTACATGATCTGTGTGGCTTTCATATTTCATTATGTCCAAAGTTCACTCTTTGCGGGGGGAATATTTATTCTTTCTAAAACCAAGCTCTATCTTTCAGTCCATCTATACGCAGTATTTACTGTGTAGAACCCCCCTCCCCAATTTATCATTAACTGTGTAGCTGCTTCGGCTTGTTTTGTTCTGTGGTACTGGGGAACCAACCCCGTTATCATGCATTCCAGGCAGGTGCTCTACCACTGACTACACCCTTGACCCTCATATTTTTTTTTTAAATGCAATTTTTTTTAGAATGTCTCACTATATAGTTTGGGCTGGCCCTGAACTCCCTATGTAGCCCAGGCTGGCCTCAAACTCACCACAATGCTTCTGCCTCAGCCTCCTGAGTTCTGGGATTACAGGCGTGCACCACCACACCCAGCAAAAAAAAAAAAAATACAATGTGTTATATACAGAACATCTAGTACGTAAAGAGGACATTTTGCTCCTTCAATATTAGGGAGAGTAAAATGCTCTCAACTAAATAATGCCTTCGGCAGTAATTCCTGCCTTCGGCCTGGCAGGTGTTGCTTAACAACAATGATGATCTGAGAAACTCTCAGCAGGCAGTTCCGCCGATGCCCGGACTTCCTAGAGCAGACTTACACAAACCCAGATGCTGCAGATCAGTCACTCAACGAGCGAGCCTCTGGATGCAATCAAGAGGCTCCGTACCCAGGCGACTCAAAGGCTGCTGCGAAGCAACATGGCATAAGGTTTTACAGTGAGCTGTTTTCATACAGAGGACTCTAGCACAGTGATAAAGCGAATGGAGTAGCGAATACACACCACACGCACAGTGGTTTATTACCATTCTCGGGTAGCGTGTACTGTACATCTTTCATAGGACCTGCGGCCAGCGCAGTAAGTTTATTTACACCACCATCGCCACAAACGCGTGAGACGTGCACTGAGCCACCGCGTTAGGCTGCAACATCGCTAGGCAATAGGAAGTTTTCAGCTCCGTTATAATCTTAGTAGGCCAGGGGTCACACAATCTGTCCTTGACGGAAATGTGCTTCTGCAGTGCAGGACTGAACTACTTTTCTCAACAGTTGTTGGAAAGTAATGGGAGTTTCCTAAATACCTTGAGGCTATTGTTTCACAATGGAAGAGACCCACAAGGCAGGTGGAAGCTATCTTTTCTTAGCTGGATAGCCAAAGAATGAGAATACACATTCCTCAATTGCTTTTTAGCCAGCAAGGAAGTCTGTTAGAGGATTAGGCTTTGGAATGGTGATGTGGGAAGGTTCTTACCCAGGAGCTCTGAGGATTTAAAATGCAGTATTCGCTCCCATTTTGGTGGCGCACAGGCCTGCAATCCCAGCACTCCGGAGGCTGAGGCAGGAGAAATGCTGCAAGTTTGAGACCAGCCTGGGCTATACAGTGAGCTCAAGACCAGCCTGAACTACATGGCGAGACCCTGTCTCAAAATAATAAAACAGAATAAATAAATAAAATGAGATACTGTGTTCCCTCCTTCTCACTCCTTTACTTTGTTATTTTGTGTTTTATGGTTTGGGTTTTTTTTTTTTTTTTTTTTTTTTTTGCTTTTTTCCGGTACTGGGAATGAACTCAAGACCTCGCGCTTGCCAGGCAGGCGCTGTGCTGCTGAGCTAAATCCGCAGCCCCTGTTATTTTGTGTTTTAATAAATTGTGGCTTTTGAGCAGGGATGGTTATACACACCTGTAATACCAGCAGTAGGAAAGCTGAGACAGGAGGATCTCAATTTCAAGGCCAATCTGTGCCACATAGAAAGCTTGTTTCAAAAAAAAAAAAAAGTGACTGTGGTGACACAACTGTAATCCCAGCACTCTAGTAGGCTGAGGCAGGAGAGTCTTCTCAAGTTCAAGCCCAGCAGGGGCAATTTAGTGCTTTAGTGAAACTCTGTCTCAAATAAGGGGGTATGTAGCTCAGTGCAAAGGCCCTAGATGTAATCCCCATTACATACATGCGTTCTTATGTACATAGATTGAGGCTCTGTGGTGTGTGAGGAAGACAAACCTGTAATATGAGCTAGTCAGGAGGCTCAGGCAGGAGAATTGCAAGTTCCCAGGCCAACCTGGGCAACTTAACAAGATCCTATTTCAAGAATAAGATAGAGCCAAATTAAAGCTTCTTTTAAAAAAAGAATAAAACAAAAAGGTGGGAATGTAGCTCAGTGGAGAGCACTTGCCTAGCACCCACGAGGCCCCCTGGGTTTGATCCCCAATACCTCCAGAGAGAGAGAGAAGGAAATCTAGTCTAGGGTAGTTGTCACAGTAGTAACTTTTTAAGCAACTAATGCCTCACCAGTGTCAAAGGACGAGAGTGATAGCTTCAGCAAACTCTGATAAAGCTTCATATGCATTCTTGTTCCCCCTGAAAATTGTTTTGCCAAGCACTCAATAATACCTTAACTGTTCAGAATTTTTAAGGCATGTTGTGGGATCCAGTCTACCTCAGACCTTCAGGGTCCACTGGTATCCTCCAAATCAGGACTCACTTTTGCAGGTCCACGCCAAGCCCTAGACACCAACATAATCTAACATGACGGTTGCTATCATCCTAAACATTGTATCTTGGTTTCTATCCCAGATAGAATCTTCAAAACACAGTCTGAAGGTGCCCAAATTTTCCTGCTTTTTATCTTCATTAACAGCCAAATAGAATAACTTCAGGACTGACAGTAAAGCTCAGTGGTAGAACATTTATTTGCCTAGCGTGCATAAGGCCCTGGTTGGATTCCTGATGTTGCAAAAATAATACTAACAATAATAAGGTGAGCCCTTCTGTTGCATGACTAACGGGAAGTTGGTGTCTCTTTTTTTTTTTGGTCTTTTTGAGACAGGGTCTCCCTATGCAGTTCAGGCCGGCCTTGAGCTCACTTTGTAGCCCAGGCTGGTCTCGAACTCACAACATTCCTCCTGCCTCAGCCTCCCGAATGCTGGGGAGAAGTTGGTGTCTTTGTCAGAGTTGGGGGACTCCCGCCTGGTGCATACACATGTTGGTCATTGCTGGTTATTGCTCACATAGACTGGCTCCTCTTAGCTTCCTTGCTATTACCTCGGGCTGCTGGTCTCTCACCACCTCTCCGTAATCTCCAACCCTCTCTACCCACCTCCCTTTCCTGGGCAAAGCAAAAACCTCAAGAAATCACACAGAAACTAATCTCTTTAAACAGATCATGGCTTTTAGAGACCTCTACACAGGGATTTCCTCTCTGGTCATCTCTGAATCAAATTGGTAGTCACTGGGTGGGAACCCTTGCTTCCCACCTGCCCTCTTCTCCCATCACAGGAGGCCCAGGTCCATCCCCGGGGCCCAGCTCTAGAGGACAAAAATCTCTAAACATCCAAAAGGTGGGTGCAGACATAAGACAGAACAAGACAACCTGCAGAGAGGACGTGCGTGGAGCAGAATGTGCCTACCCGGAGTGTGTACATTTGTCTTATTTCGCTAGGACAGAGAGTGAACCCTTGTTTCCATCTCCCTCTTCTCTAGTCACATGAGGCCCAAGTCCATCCCCTCCTGGGCCAAGCTTGTCCCCAGCGATCCAAAGGTGGGCGCAAACATCAAACAAGAAGAAGCAAAAACAACCTGCGAAGGAGCAGCTCATGGAACAGAACGTGCCTGAAGGAGGGACATTTTGGTACATTTGTGTTATCTCACTAGAACACTAGAACACCAAGCTCCCCGCAGAAAACAAATTCCCTTGAAGCCTAGCAACTTAGTGACTTAGAGAGACCCTGTCTGAACACAAAAAGAAAAGGTTAAAAAGGGCTGAGGATGTAGCAAAACAAAGGTGGCGGTCTGCGCATGTAGCTCTATGGGAAACCCTGGGTTTAATCCCCAGCACTGAGACACAAAGACACCTTGATTTATGTCTGAGAAGACTCGGCATGATTTGTCCTGGAACCGAGCACTTCACCCTTTCTCTTCCACCCCTAAAACCCCAGCAAGCAAATATGGGCTGGCAATTGTTAGAATAATTGGATGCTCCCCATGGCCAACCGTAGCGGGCTCAGAAGCTTTGAGACCTGCTAAGTCTTCAACGCATTAACAAGAAATCAAAATGTCAAAAGAGTCTTCAACACACCGTGACAGGTTTAGGCAACGTGGGGTATTAGGACGTAATCCAGGCTGGGAAGAGTCAGAAAGGGATCTGGAATTCAGTCCAGAGAGCAGGAGAGGGGCAGAGAGAGGCGTGCAAGGCAACCCTGGGGCCTGCGCTCCAGGCCTAGACAGCGCAGCAGGCACGTTAGACACGCGCTGGGGGTGGC